CACCGTCCTTCGGGAGCTCCTCAGGTACCGCCGGGCCTGCGGGGCGAGAAGGGGGGCCTGGGCCTGGAAGCCCTCTCGCTGCGGGGGCTGCAAGGCAGGGGAGGCTGCAGGAGGGGTCTCTGAGGGAGGGGAGGCCTGAGCAGGGGTGGTCGCAGAAGGAGGGAGTGTAAGGGAGCTTTGCGCCATTGATGCGGGCAAGGAGAGCTCCATGTCGTGCTAGCCTGGAAGATGCCCGCTGTGTGCATGGCAGAGAGAGCGCTGCAGGGTGCTGGATAAATGGAGGAGGACATGAGGGTCCTTGGTGCTGTTCTTGGAGGTGCCCGTCTGTGCCAAGCGCTGGGAACGTGGGAGAGCATTGAGGGGCTTTTGTTGCTTGCAAAGGAGAGAGCACAGAGAGGCCTGAGGGAATATGGGGTTGTGTTGCGCGGGGAGAATTTGGAAGCCCTGTGCAAGGTGAAGTGTGGGCAGGGAGTGCGAGGAGCTCACCCTGGGGCTCACAAGAGGTGTGGGGAGGTCAGTGTGCCATGGGGAGCGCAGGGAATCCCAAGGGAATACTGTGCTGGGAGAGCTTGTAGGTGCAGGGGGACCTTTGTGTTAAACTGGGCTGTGTTTCCCTGAAACCGTTGTTGTGATGACCCAGCTGTGAATGGTATGTGGTGTTGTACAGGCATGTGGGGAGTGGTGTGCTGCTATTTGCAACCAAGTGTTTTGTGTTGTGAAACTAGATCCTGAGACTGATACTCTGTAAAGAGTCAAGAACAGCAGGAGCTAGCTGAGTCTGTGTCTGTAACATTAAAAAATAAAATCTCTAGATCTGAGAAAAACTATGTTTGTGATTTAACGTGCAAATGAAGCATGCGGAAATGGGCAACTGCCCCCTCTAAAAACTGACCATCAGTTTCCTTGTTCAATGCCTCACCAATTTCAAGTCAGAAAACCTGGAGAAAATTGCCAAACTGGAAACACGGTAAACAAAAAGACCCTTGGGTCCAGAGGAACCCTGGGAGGAATGGAGACCTCTGTGCCCTTTCATAGGCAGCAGTAACACATCAAACTTTAGCTAGAAACGAACTTTTAGTTAGAAAACACCGCTAGAACTGTGGATGTACAAAGCGTAGAGCAATATTTCACTTAAAAATTTTCCATGCTGGCACTCTTGCTCGCTGTCAGTCAGTGGAAGGGTTTGGGACTGACCGTATTCAGTTCTGCATGGATGTCTCTTCTCTAGACGTGGCAAGCTGCAGAGGGAATCAGACTTCATGGCCAGTGTAGACAGCAGCTGGATCTCCTGGGGTGTGGGAGTCTTCATTCTGAAGCCCCTGAAGTGGACTCTTTCCAGCGTGCTGGGTGACAGTAAAATACCCGAGGAAGAGGAAGTTCTGATTTATGTGGAGCTGCTTCAGGTGAGTGTTGTTGAGAGCTTTTTCAAGTCATGCATCTCCAGCAAAATTGAGTCATTTTATGTGCTAGCAAGGAAAGATCAAGGTTGTATAGACCTTCATTTGTACTCCTTAGGTGTTTAAAAGCCTGTAGAGAGATGGATGGGATAACTCTGGCATAAGAAGTAATTTATATTACAGATGTTCCTTGAAACTATCGTAACTGACTTCCAAGAATGGGAGGGGCAGGCTTGCTTGCTTGCTTGTCTAGGAAGGCAAGTAGTATGCTGTGAGACCGCTGTAAATCTCAGGTTTGAGTTTGTGCAAGTGTAGTATGCGAGAGAAACTTGCAGATTGAGTGCCATCTGTTGTAGGGAGAAACGGGTGACGTAGAAGTCACTGGCTGTCAGGCCAATGTATCATTGACCTGAACTCGCATGTGCGTTATTAAAGGCTGCTTTCGCTTCAGACTTCAGTGCTTTCAACTTGCCTTTTCAAATGTGATTAGAACTGCCCTTGGGTCCTGACAAAGACCACGTTGTTAGTGGTAGACCTGTGGGTTGCACTGTGAATTCATGTAACTCATTGTTGCTCAGTCTAACTTGGATGGTGCAGTGCTGACAGTCCAGACCCTGGGCCCCTGTCTGTGTTACTCAGTGACTGTTAAAAATAACACCAAGACTTGCTGCTCTTGCGTGCAAGTGGTGTCTAAATGACTGGGCTAGCAGAAATGAAAGAGCTCTTTGTATGTGTTCCTTTACTTGTAGTTACTCTGATAGCAGACGGTGTCTTCTCTCTGCAAGTGTGTATTCCACAGCCCTTTTAGAGGGTATGTGCGTGGCAGAGGAGAGAAACCTTTTAAAAAGGTGCCTGGAAAACCACAAGCCTTGATGGGGAATGTGGGGGTGGATGGAAAGAGTTGTTCCTATAGGCTTAAGTGGACCATAACTCTCACTTGAAATGGGGAACACTTTTCTTTTTCCTCTGTCCACGTACAAATGATGAGTGCAAGTACAGTGTGGATTAAAGAAAAGGTTTCATTGGGTTTAAACTTGGGGCGGCTTCAAGAAGTGCAGAGGAGGCCCGCTTGCTGCCTGTGTAGTTCTTACGTTGTTCCACAGCACTTGCACAGGCAATGTGGATAGCATAGTTTTGGTTCTTGTGGAAGACTCTGCTATTTCTCATTCCATTAATGGTGATATTTTTAAAGCGTTGTAATTGCTTTTGAATGTTACGTACAACTCATTCTGAAAGTCTGTCTCGCCCAAAACGTGATGCATCTAACTTTGTACCCTCAGTGTGTGGGAGGAAGCAGGTGTGGACTTGGCAGTCGTTGTGAGAGAAGTAAGAGTCCTGTGTAAACTAATAGACAGCTGTGCTTCCTTTCAGGAGAAGGCAGAGGAAGTTTATCGCCTATATCAGAACTCTGCGCTTTCTTCTCACCCTGTTGTTGCCCTCTCAGAGCTGCGTTCCCTCTGTGCCAGTGTTTGTCCAGATGAAAGGACGTTCTACTTGTTGCTGCTCCAGCTGCAAAAGGAAAAGAGGGTCACGATCCTGGAACAGAATGGAGAGAAGGTACAGGGTAAAGGTGACTGCTTTTGGGTGGTATAATCCCTGTCTTGCATTTCATCTGGCTGGAAAGAATACTTTATTGGCTACATATGGGTGTTCTTTGATCGGAAAAGTCAATTCTATGTACTCCCACATTGTAACCTGGTTATAGATGAGAATAAATCCTCATTCTTGCATGGAAGTTTCTTATTTTCCTCTGTCAAACATTTGTAATATTACCTATGTAATTTAACAGCTAGAAAATTGGCAGATACTGAAGTTGTCTACTCGCAGGTTCACTGTTCCCAGCTGCCCCAATTAAAATCATTCCACGCCACTGGAATCAGCATTCCACTTTCTGTGAAAAGATTTTCCTGTCTATCAGTAACTAGAGAGATGCAGGCTCTCTTGTCTCTAAGATGGCATGTTTGCCTGTAGTGTTCTGTGCCGTACAGTTCTGTACTGAAGTACTTAGAAGTGTGACATTGCCATACACTGTTCAGAGCACCAGCTCAGGACAGCTTTAAATCTTCAGGGTGTTCCATTAAGGCTTTCTGGTTTTGCACCGATGTCACTTGATCCTATCTAGTTTAATATTAGATTACATGGTGACTGGTGTGTTCTCATCACTCTATTACAAGGCTTAAACTAGGGATGTAAAAGCATCTTTTCCTCCCATCGGAGTGAAAATATCTCTAGTGCAGGCACAGATTCTGGAGACAAGCGACTCAAGCATGTGGTTCTTTTTCTTTAGATAGTGAAGTTTGCCCGAGGTCTTCATGCCAAAGTCTCCCCAATGAATGATGTGGACATTGGAGTATATCAGTTGATGCAAAGTGAACAGCTGCTGTCACAGAAGGTGGAGTCCCTTTCCCAGGAAGCAGAGAAGTAATTTGGGGAAGCGTGGTGGGAAGAACGTCCATGTGCCGTAGAACTTTGTATTCCTGTGACATAGCTAGAACGAAGCTGCTTTCCGAAAGTGCAAGTCACTCTTTCCTGTTCAGTAAACATAGTAGCCACAGTCATGTGGCAGGGCAGGTTTTCCAGTCTTTGTTCCCTATCCCCATGAAAACAACATTCAGTGGATGTCAAAAGCCTTTGCAAAGATTTGGAATGTGTTCAAGAACTACTTCTGAGAAGCAACAATGCCTTAAGGGTGGTTGTATCCGAAACGCAGTGTTACTCGGTTACCTCTGGATTAGAGCGAGGTAGTGAGGATGTTGCTGATATGTAAAATAACTACTGCTTGCAAAGGAGTAAGCTGCTTTTCCTTGCTGCTTCTGTACAGGTGTAAAGAGGATGCCCGGAGTGCTTGTAGAGCTGGGAAAAAGCAATTGGTAAGTACTGTTCTACTTGGGAGGAACTACAAGTTAAGTGTCTTGGAGCTGGTCCATAACTGCAGATAATGACCAGGGTTAGGCATTGTGTACTTGAACGTAGATGTGTTGAAGTGGTATTTCTGAGGCCAAGGGTCTCCTTAACCTGGAGGTAAGAATATATTTGTCCAGAGTGATGTGGTGAAGAGAAATGGAAATATCTAGCTCTTAAAACCAGCTGTTGTGTGTGTGCGCCTTGCTGCACAGAGACTGCTAATTTTTTTACACTTCCTTTGGCTGCTGCCTGGTTTGTGATCCAATTCTGTGTTTGTAATGTCTCCAGGCACTGAGATGTTTGAAATCCAAACGAAGGACAGAAAGGCGCATTGAAGAACTTCACTCCAAGCTGGATGCAGTGCAGGGGATCTTGGATCGTATATACGCCTCCCAGACTGACCAGATGGTAGTGTGTTAATTTTGTTTTGTGCTTCTCACTTTAGCCCCGCTCTTCTCATTTATGCTGCTTGCTTTACCTGCTTGTCAGAGCTTGTGTCTGAGGGGTGTTAGATGGCTGGTGAGACTTTATTCTCTCCTCTGAATAAAGCTGCCTGTGGCTTTATTTTCTTGTGTGCTAGTGTTTCTCTGAGGATCCTGCTTGGATAACAGGTCTTGAGAGAAGCTTTTACTGCCTGTTGTTTGTTCTTAGTTAGCATTGTGCCTTTTTTTTTTTTTTTCTTTTTAAGGTATTTAATGCCTATCAGGCTGGTGTGGGAGCTCTGAAACTGTCTATGAAGGATGTTACTGTGGAGAAGGCAGAGAACCTGGTGGATCAGATACAAGAGGTACTGAAATAAGAGCACATCTAAATAAACAAACAAGTAGCGTGTAGATGTAGACAGCAAGCTTGCCCAGCTATTAATGCTGAGGCTTCTGGTGCTGTTTAGTTGCTATTCCATATGTCACCAGAGCAAACTGACTTAATCTTGGTCTTTTTAGATTAGCAAGCAGAGGTCTTCTAATAACTGGCAGTGTTTTGGATTTATGTATTTGCATTTATTGCTGGCTAGTAATCACAATTTACATTAAATTTGTGTATTTCATGTGTTCTTTTGGTTAGCAATATTGTGCAAGCACACAGCTGTCCTAGAAGATATTTAGTGAGATGTATTAAAAAGAAATACAGGTCATACCTTTGGAAGCTGGAATGCAACTACGTGCATAAAAACACGGTCTTAAAACTGCCTAACCCATAATCTTCTGCAATTCAGTAGGGGAAAGGAGATGGCTTTATTCTGAATGAATTGAAATGAAGAGAGTAATCTGTCTGCATAAGCTGGTGTAAAAACCAGAAAAGGATTACTTTTTTAGAAATGTCAGCTCAATGTACTTAAGTGGTGACTTCAACTACAGAGCTGAGGGGCTGTCTATAAAATTTCATAGCTGAAATGTATTGGTCTTTGGCTTCCTTATTTTGGTAGCCTAAGCTACCTAATAAGCTGCAATATAGGCTTATTACTTATGTGAAAAAGCCAAAATTGGGGAGATTTTTTCTCTTTTTCCTGAAATTCTGTTTCGGGTTTGATGCTCAAACATGCTACTTGGTCTTGTAGCACTTACTAAATAATATTTCACGATAGTGCCTTTGCTACTGAAAAACCATGTTGGAAGTCTCTCTTTTGCACTAGTGTCTGCTGCCTTTAAGTCAACTTTTGAATTTTTTTGTTATTTCTACTTTGACATAGGTGGTTACAGTAAAACATAAGATTAGCTTATATCGTATATCCAACGCTGTGTATTTTTCCTCAGCTTTGTGATACTCAAGATGAAGTAGCCCAGACGCTGGCTGGAGTGGGGATCAATGGTCTAGGTATGTTTTGGGGTTTTCATCCTTTGCTCATCTCCTCTTGCCACTGCTGGCCCTTTATGCTGCCATCCCTTCCCTGCTCCCTCCCCGCACATGTCTAGTCCTCCTTTCTGGGAGGATAAGCACTTAATGAAATACCAAAGATGTTGCTACTAGTGCCTTGAGAGGGAGTGAGGACTGACAAGTTTTCTCTGACAGTGGGTTGCAGGGGAATCAGCATTTGCGCATCTCCACATCTTTGCAGTTTCCAAGTGCTGGTGGATTTCAGTTCAGAGTTGTGTAATGTTGAGTTAAATCTATTTTTAGAGTGACTGCCGCTTTGTTTTTTAAGTGATGATCTTTTTCCTCTGGCCTTTGTGTTGCTGCAGCTTGTTTGTCTCTGCTGAAATGTTTTCTTGCCCTTAGATGCCTCAGTGCAAAGGCTTCTAAAGGAATAGCTTGTCCCTGAGATCAGGACAGAATTTTCACTTTTAGAAGAACAGGGAGCTCCTCCTTATTATGAGTAATAATGGATGGGAGTAAAAATACCTCTGTTAAACTTGGACTTTGGGCTGTGCTGCGAAGATGATACTTATTTCTGCTTGGAACCGAATGTTTTCTTTAATCAGCAGAGGTGGACACAGAAGAACTTGAGAAGGAGCTGGACAGTCTCCTCCAGGACTCAACTAAGGAGCCTGTAGATCTGCCTCCCGTTCCCCAGAAGGTGCTGAATCCACCTATTTCTGATGCTGAGCTTGAAGCTGAATTGGAAAAGCTCTCCGTTTCTGATGGAGGTACAGATGTCAGCAAGTTGTGTTAGCTGGCTGCTATTAGGATCTATGACAGCCTTGCAAAATGAAAGATGTCTAGCAGAACTAAAATTGGAGACAGAATCTTTCCCACTTCCAGTTACACGGTTGAAAGCAAGGTCTCCTGGTGTCCCTGCCAGGTGCTCAATGGCATTGTCTTTTTTGCTACCAGACTCAGTCCTGAGAGAACTGCCCTCTTCGCTAGAAATTCTTCCTGGACTTTTTGCCCTGGGGTACAGGGAAAGTTGAAAGCCCTATGAGGGAGCTAGTACTTGGACTAAGTATTTTTTGTTGTCTTTTAACAAAACCTGTACAAAGCCAGGCAGTGTTTTTTGTATGTTCTGTTAACAGTGGTGAAGTAGACCAGCATTTTCATGCCTGTTGCTGCCAAGCACGCAGCATCTCTGTCCTAGAATGCTTACTATGTCTTATAGGTACAATGTCTGCTTAAACTAATGCTAAACTAGTCTTTATTTAGTAACAGTGAGTGACCAGAGCTTATGGGCTTGAACTGCATGCTGAGTTTTCCCTAGACCTGTCTTGGACTGGGGTAAATAGACTTTAATTTTCCTTTCAGGAATCTGTTAATGAACAATTACACAGGACTGTCCATACAGTCTTCTTCCTATTTGGGCAGCCGATACTCTCAAGTTTCAGAGTAGAAAAATGCTTAGCATCCCATATGAAACATGAAGCATGGGTTTCCAAGAGAATGAAACTGAGTATTGAAGCACTGAGGTGCTCTGAAATTGTGTTTGTTAGTTGTGGACGTGGTTGATCTAGTCTCTCTTACTGATGAAAACTGATGTCTTTCTGTTGCCATTTTCTTTATAGATTTGCTACAAAAGACTCCCTCTGCTTCCTCTGAACCCAAAACAGCTCTGGGACTGAATCTCTAAAGACCCAACACTATCCTGTTGCTGCAGTTTGAGAAGTTGTCTTAAGGTTCCTTAACTAATGACTAGAACTTCTAGGGAGAGGGTTAACACTCCCATGTTCTTCATGGATATCACTTTGCTCAGCAACAGGATCTCCTGCCGTGACAATCCACTCTGGAACTGGCCCCAGCTGGTGTCTGTCATCTCTGTGCCAACATCTGCACTGGTCTCGACTTGTTATCCCAAGTCACTCTATGACATCCAGTCTTCCCTTCTGGGAATGCAATTCACTATTCTGCCCAGTGAAGATAAACTCTTCTATGTCCATAACAGTGCTTTTTTTTTTTTTTCTTTTTTTCTTTTTCCTTTCCTGTGGCTGATGTTGAGAATCTGAGTTGCAGTGGTATTGCAGTTGCTCAACATTTGGCTGTGTGTGTGGTTGTTTAAAACACTTGGCACTTAAGTACTGTCCTTAACATAAGTTATCTGCAACAAGCTTAAACACCTGTTGATAGTTCTATCCCTCCCTTATCTGTATTTTGCACGGTCGTGGACAACTAGACACTGTAACTGTTAAATTGTAGGAGGTTTTGTTGCTGCTCTAGGTGGCAGCAATTGCAAGCACAAGACAAAAATAATTCCTCTTTCTGTAATGACACTAAGGCCTTAGAAGGGAGACCTGCAAAAGATTTTTAAATGAAGGAGTTTCTTGCGCTGCCTGTTGTGATGAAGGTTTGCGGTCACTATAATACAATTTTCTGCTTGCTCTTACTTGAAATTTGAGCTGTTTGCTATTTTTGTATCTTCCCTGTTTGCAAAACTTCTTGGGAGCCGCAGGGTGATCTGCTTTGAGCTCTCATACTGAGTGATTTAGGGTAGGAGGGGAAGGAATACATAATTTTCCCTTTCTGAGGATGGTTTCATATAACAGCCTTGACTTTGCCTTCGGTCTTGATGTTGCAATTCAACAATATTATGGGTTACCAGAAAGCCTGAAAACAAAACTCTGTAAATGTTTCTAATGCAAAAAAACCCCCACACCAAACAACCCCAAGCACAGCAACTGAAGATGTTTTTTAGAGGCTGTCTTTACCCATCAGAAGTGAAATCGTCAGCTTTTGCGGGTCACTTTTTTATTATATGCACGCACATGGAAGAACAGAAAGCCCAATACCTGGCATGAATAAATGAACTCTTTCAGGAGGGGAATGTGCTATTAACTGGGCTTTCCACACGCAGAACCTGTGTGTGGCAGGGGAGCAACTAGCTACGTGTTGATGTATAATCAGTCCTTCTCTCTCTGCACCTCTCCCTGACTCGGAATGTATTCCTGTCACTATTTCTACACTGCCTCCTGTACCAAGCTCCATTGCTCGAGCTACGTGGATGGCAGCTTGGGTGAGCGGTAAACTAGGGATGGAGTTCCCATGTCCTGTTAATTACTGGCAACCCAGCTTTAGCCCCAGAGGACTGGGGAGGACTGCAGGTGTCCCTAGGGTGCCCTGTTGGCTCTGGCTTCTTTGTCACTTTGTCCAGGAGTGCAGACTCCAGCCAGAGAAGGTGTGCTGTAGCCAGCTAGCAGTTTACCCAGGCTGTACATGGGATTATGTGAAATGACTTGAAGCTCTGTATTCCTTTCATTTGTAAGTAAATGGGAGAAAAACCACTGTGTTTTCTGCCTAAGTGTAATAAAGGGGAGGGAGGAACCGGAGTCCCTTGTGGTGCCTCCTTTTCTTTCCCCATGCCGCAGATCACTGGCACATTAGTGCTGTTCCAGCTGTGCTTCTGCATCTGTAAGACTAGTCTGCTGAAAGTAAATGAGCAGATTTCTGGGCATCTTTGTCAAAAAGCAAACTGAATCGCTGCTGTACCCGACTTTGATTTCCCTGAGCCTTCTTTCTGTGTAAAAAAGCCCGACAGTTACTGTGTTTAACATTTTGAAGTTGTCTGTTTTTACCAAGTAGCCTGTGCTTGCTTTTGGGTTGTACGACCTTAATTTTATGAGTATCATTTTGGAAAGACTTGCTCTTTCTTTGCTTCAGCCCATCTTACCTTTCCACTTCCATCATTGTGCGTCTCAAACTAGTGCAATGTCAGGGCTCATGTAGAACCCAGTCCTTTGCTTAAGCCACCTTGCTGTGGCCATGGAGGAAACTGCTATGCCAGGAAGTCAGTTCTCCTCATTGACCCCTTGGTTTTGTACTAAACAATCTGTAAGCCTTATTCTGGAATGGTTTTTGTCTGGCTTCTTGTTCCGATTGTAATTAAGCAGTGCAGTAGAGGAGAGTGGTACTGTTTTTTTCCTCTAAAGACAACGAATCTAGATGGAGTAACCTGGTGTATAAAGTACTCAAAATAAATTACTCCTACTTCCCTCCGATACTGAGATGTCTGAAGAAGCTTTGAATTTGCAGGCAGTCAGGCCTGTTTCCTCAGGCAAGAGGTTTGATGTCAACTGGCATGCTGGTCCCTGGAGAGCAACTGTGGGTTTCTTGCAGGGACGGGCAGGGAGGAGGAAGTTTCTTGTTCCTGTGCTTATCTTACACTGTCTACAGTGCAACTCTGGGAAGGCTCAGGTCTTGCCTACAACCAGTATCACTGGATCCTTTTTTTTTTTTTAAAGAGGATCTGATTACCTCTTGTTTCTCTCCTGCTATCAGAACTTGTACCCTCTCTGGAAGTAAAGTGCCAAGTGATTGCTGTAGGAATAAAATCTCTTCTGCGATTCTGTAATGCATCTGACTGAGACAGCCATTCTGGAAGAGGCATTTAAGAGTTAAACCTAAGCAGCTGCTGCTTTATTTGAAGTGGCTTGTAATTTTCTTCCTTTGATGCAAAGTGGGGAATGTAATCAAGATGGCTGAATAGAGAATTTTAAGTATATTTTGGTGAGACAGCAGGGAAGGGAAGTAGAAGGCAGCTTCTTGCTGGGTGAGGAAATTAAATATAAAAACCTAGAGCTGAATTGCCACCAAACTGTAATGTTACCGTATTTGAGTGCTGTTTAAAATAGTACTTAACTTGATTCTCAGGAAAAAATAACAGCTGCTTATGTGAGGAAATGTAGCAACTGTTTAGTAATATAATGCAGCAGAACAGTTCTCTCAATAGAGAGAAGATTGTATCTAGCAGGCAGGAGGAATTAATCTGTGAACATGAGCAACTGCCTGTGTTTTGTTTGAGTAGCTGTATTTTGTTTGCCTATGACACCAGAGTTAATGGTCCTTTCTTCACTAGGTGCGTTCTGAGACACACAGAAATTGGGTGATGCGTTGGATCCCTTTCCATTCCATTTTCCCCCTGCTAACCCAGCTTTGAATGTCAGCTTCAGTATAAGCGGTGTACAAGGGCGAGATCCTTTCTTAGATGTTTTTAAGCTCCTAAGGAGGAAGGCTTCCTTGTATCTCGAGGAATGATTTCCTGGAATGCCTCCTGGCTTAGCATGTGTGACTTGAGTGTACCGTGAGCTCCCACTCTGAGCCTCTGCCATGATTTAATGCTGTGTGACAGATCGTCTGCCAACCCTGCTCTCTTGAAGAGCAGCGAAATGCATCCTGTTGTTTATGTCTTGCTACTTAGATCTTGAAAATCGTTGTGCCCAGTATAGGGAATATGAGAAAAATGCCCTTTGCAGCACAGAGGACAGTGCATCTGCATGCATCCTTGCAGGGGTTGGTGCTCTGCCAGCGTCCTGCGGTGTCTGGGCAATTGGATGTCCCTCCTTTTCCTCTGATGAAATCCTGGTGAGGAGGAAGGGAGCTGGCCCGACACAAAAGCCCCAGGGGACAGTGCTGAGCCATCAGCCAGCGGCTGGGGGCCCCCAGCCCCCCCTCCCCGCC